CAAAGACAGCAGACTGAAATTGGCAGCGCCCATCTGCACCGCCAGAATGACCGAGCCGATCAGCAACGCGCCCAGCGCTGCAATAAAAAGGAGTGAGCGCCGACGCGACACGCCTCAGGTATCCGCCATGAGATCGGTAAACCGGTGTATAAGGTCCAGCATTGCGCCCGGCGTGCGCGGGCCGAAAGTTAGAAGGGCTTCACCATTGACAGCGACCAGCTGATTTTTACGGCCTGCAGGTGTCATTTTGAAACCGGCATTTTCAATCAAAACGTCATGTACGGTTGAGCCATTTTCCTGCATGGTCACCACGATATCCGGCTGGAGGACCGCCAGCTCTTCTGGATTGAACATTTTGTAGCCCGGAAAGGCCGACGCCACGTTACGCGCGCCGCAGATGCTTAGCACCTTATCAGCTGGTGAACCTGCGCCTCCGCATATCAGTCGATTATTGGCCATGTGCAGGACAAAAAGCACTTTTGGGTGGACGCGGGTTGCGCGTGCCGCGCGATCGACCTTCTCAAAACCGCGTGCGACGCTGTCTCGCAACGTTTTTCCTTTACTCACCTGATCCACAAGTCCGGCGATTGTGGTGATGCGATTCAAAGCAGCATGGGGTGATGCCTCACTGCTGATATAAAAGAGAGGGATACCGGACTGTCCGAGAGAGGCGAAGGCTGCTGCAGGACCGCTGTCATCCATGGCAAGAATGAGATCGGGTTTAACGGAGAGGACGCCCTCAGCGGATATGCTACGCATATAACCGAGGTTTTTCTTTTTCCCGAAGAACCCCTTTCGGCGAGGTGGCCGTAAGATCCACGGCGCATATCCGTTTTGACTCCCCAACGGCATAGACAACTTCGGTGATCAAACCGCCAATACAGGCAATGCGGCGGGCCGCTCCCAATCTTACGGATCGACCTCGATCATCGATTTTAACCGCCGGATCAGGTGCGTCACCCTGTGCATGAGTAACAAGACCAGCAGAGATGAGAGCGAGCGCGGATCGCCTTGATACGGGTTTTCTCATTCTTGCACTCCGCTTCTTTCACGTCGGGGACCAAGAATCATATCTGTCAGAAGACGGGTTATTGCAAATCA